TATATATATATATATTTATATGCAAGATATTATATTGTTTACTACGCTCTAATATATTATATTATACATTATATTTGTCGTTGTAGAATTGGAACTGCTCGTGACGCGTTTTGAAATAAATGTTTTGCGGTTCGCGGTTCTCTCAATTTTATGTTATCGTAATTTAATTTCTCCTTCTTTTGATTATTAGAAGAGTAACAAATAAGAGAAACAACAACGAATGGTAGAAAAACGTGGAGACGGACAATAAACATTGTTCAAACTTGTTGTGTATACAAACGTTCGAAATAAACGAAATAAATGGAATTCTTTTTCAAAAAGATTGCTTCTTCTTCAATACCCATTACATACACGTAGCTACTCATCAATTATCGTATCGAAATCAACTTACTCACACACGCACGAATTACAAACGAAAGATTGTTCGAGCAATTAGGAACTGTGTTTCTTCCTTTTAGAAGCGTACCGCGTGCATTTGTCTAACTTACGCTCGCGTGTAATCCAAGAAAAGAACTGCGAAGCTTCATCAAACGAAAAGCGTTTTAATTATCATCAATATGAGCTTTCAGCAAGTTCCACAAAGATTACACCCGTAAACCGATCAGCTTCGATACAAAAAACTTTGGCAATTGCACTCGAGGTTTCCTCGTCGTTTAAATCGTCTCTAAAGTACATACTACACACGTCTCCCGTAGACATCGTTTGATATCAATCGCTCATATTGTCTCACGTATTGGCCTTTAACTTGGCTGTGAAAGATCATCCGAAACGTAACGATAAAAATTGTCCCTGTCGACGATACAAATACAAAGTAGATACGTACATACAAACAGTCGAACGATTTGTAACAAATAAATAATCACAAAGAATAATTTTGATTGATGCTTGAGCACTTTTGATCACGCGCATCGCTCCAGAATCAGTTTCCCTGATTCCTCGTACTCCTGTCGCGACAGCCACATTTGTTGGAAGGATCCAAGGGAGCTGAGGATCGATCCTCCGATCCAGGCACCGTAACGACGCTCGCTCGAGCTGTTCGCGCTGATTATTTTCAGTCTCATACTCTGCAACAACCCGATGATTCAACGTTATTGTAGATCTTGAGAGAAATGAAATTACTCTGTTTCTTTTTAATTGTTTGTTAAACAGAAAGCAACGATCAAGCGAGAATTTATCGCGGTATTCTTCAAATTTTCTTTTCAATATTAATATAATGCTTCTACTATTAATGTAAACTCATGACGATGAAAAATATTAAGCTTTTAATTCTTGGAATTTTTTTTCACACCATCAACGGAATTTGGCAATACAGATTGATACTTACTGGAGGAGTTTTGCTGGCTAAATCTCGGTTCAGTCTTTCGCTAAAACCTTGCAGGCAGGAATTACCACCGGTGACCACCACGCTTCCGTACAGGCTCTAAGAAAAGAAACATTTCATTCATTAACGATGATGAAGTGGTCAACTTTGCTAAATCTAAAGCTATTAAGTTGGAAGAAGGTGAAGAAATGGAGCTCAGTCGGTAGAGCATTAGATTCTTAATCGAGCCCCTCTTCGGACGAAAAAAAAAAGACATTGTCCTTTAGGACAACAGGTCTTGGAGCTCTCCTAATGTGTGGAGGACGGCCATTGTGAAGGTTTTAGTCGGTAAAAATCCGACACTACCTGGGTCTCTCCTTAAAAGACTTAGGTGTCTTATGAAAATTTCCTCCACGTAAAAAAAAAAAAGAAGGTTAGGTTGGAAGAAAACAGAAGAAAGCTTACAGGTCTGATGTCCATGTCGCACATGCCCACGCTAGTCGTGACCAGAGGGCCGACGCCAAGAATGCTGGCGCCAACGCCCTTCACGTTGCTGGGATCGAACAAGGCTTCCGGAATCATCAGTCTGACGGAGCCGAAATCGTCGTTGTACCCGGTCGGGAACTCGTAGTGTTTCATTGGCAAAGTGTTGGCCACATCTTCGTCGTACGGGCTGTCGGAGACTTGCAAACAATTCATTTGAAAGTCTTGCAACAGCTCTCGGACCATGTAGCTCATCCAGGAAGACGTTGGTTGAGCTCCAGCCCTCTTTGTCCAGCGTGGTGGATCTCTTTCACGAACCACGTCTATGCAATACTTTGTTACATCAGTTTTTACGTAAAAGTTTTACAGTGAAGGTGTTTATGTAATAGTATGATAGTAACGCGATTACGAACGAAATAAAGGGACTCGGACTTGTTGAAGAGTGTTTCGAGTAGTACATAGAACGCGAGGCGTTGGAATGGTTTTTTAAATAGACCTGAAAGTTACATAAGGAGGCCGATGATATTAGACGAGAAAAGATTTTGATGAAGGAGAGAAACGTTCAACTCCAAACGCTGCTCGATGCTTTCAGTAACGCGAGCGTTGATAAGCGTTCGGTAAGTCTGGACAGCGCGTGCGGTAAAGCGCGCACGGACTGCTGAATGAACGCATTCAACGTATTACGACTCAAGTGCTCTGCACACAGCGCGCGTTCATCGTTCAAAATGCCCTCTGAAAGGATTCAATTGCTCCCTTTTGTGTCTTATAATAGACGTCGTACTAGGCCACGTATTAAGCATTCCTTTTTATAGCACGTTAATTCCTGGTTAGCACGGCGAGTGTCAATTGAAGTCAATATTTAAACGTGCGTCGAATTATGTCGTTACCATCGCTCTCTCTTCTCCCGCCCGTTGCCGAAAACACGACGCGACGAGTCGTCGAGAAACTCAAGCCAACTTGCCTTTGCTCGCGACCAGGCAGGCCGGCGTCAACTCGATTTCCTTCTCTTCGAAGAATTGTCTGCACTGCATGGTGATGAAGTCACCACCCAATGGACTCTTCACGATTCCCTGTGTGATGACATAGCCGTCGTGCACCGGAACCGCGCTCGTATGAGTCGCACCGCTGTCCACAACCATGGCCGTCGATCTGCCGTTCGCGTACGCGGCCAGGACCGCGTTCTTGCAGATGTACATCGCCGGCACGTTGAATTTCTCGAACATCAGCTCCAGCAGTTTCTCGCGTTTCAGTCGAGTGTTCCACGGGCACTCGGTCATCAGGATCGGATGGTGCTCTGGGAGAGCATGAAGACGTTGCTTGTACGTGTACTCTGTTAGACGCTCGAACATCTCCCAGTCCTCGATCATGCCGTCCTTCATTAAACTAACCATCTCCATATCTGGGAAAATATCAGGGGTAATACACGTTAGTACGATCATTGAAACCAAAATGTATGATTTTCATTGAAGTTTACTTTCTGCACTTTGATTTTCTAGATACATGTAGCGCGTTATCATGGACAACATTTCGCAGCACGAGGATCGTACACGTACAGTGAAAAATATTAACAACGGTGGAGACTCTCTGAAATTTCATTAAGGAGAATTCAGAGATTCTGGACATCGTAGTTACATTTTAATGGAATTTACGACAGGATGGAAGAGGGTCACGTAACGGAAGCTAGACACCGAGGCAGCGTAATCGTATTTGCCCTGATAGGATTACGCTGTGCGGAACGATCGTACCCTTCTTTCGCACTTGAATGGCCGTGACATCGATATTGTAGTGCTTCCTGACGTTCTGACCGCCGTCCAGCGACTCGGCCGCGTCCTCCCATACACCGAGGGTGGTCGGGATTTCAGCCTTCGGCGTGTCCTCACCGCCATAACCAACGCGAAGGCTCTGGTGTCCAACGTCGAAAATTATAGCACCGACCTCGTCTGCGGGAAAAATCCAAACTCGCTTTACTGAATTCTCGGCCAGGCGAAAACGATTACCGTCGCTATTTCCCGGAAATATTGCGCACCGCGTATCACATACCTCCGCCGTAGACACCACCGCTCATAGTATCTGGAGAGGACAGGAACATCCGCGCATGCCCAGCAACCCTGTTCGACCTCACCGGTCCATGCACCCCCTTCTTCCTTCCTCGCGCTCGTATAACGAGGATTCTGCGACCCTCCGCCGTTCCCGCATTGCTCCTTTTGCATATTCGAATGTACGATCGGGAGAGGAGGATGAAACGCGATCGATCGGCACATTCGCGAAACCTTTTTCGTCTGGGCGCAGCTTTTGTCACTGAAGACTTCTTCCGCCGAGCTCTCAGCAAGCTGACAAGCTGGTGTTACGAATGTTACGACGGAAAAAACGGGATTTTCTTTTATTTTTATTACCTATTAAATCTATCGTCGCACTTGCAATTAGTTTCACTGATAGAG